TTCTTTCTTTCTTTCTTTCTTTCTTTCTTTCTTTCTTTCTTTCTTTCTTTCTTGTACAGGGGCAGGTTGCCTGCATGTCTGTCTTGTGTACCTTATGCATGCAGTGGCCTCAGAGGCCAGAGGAGGGCATCAGCATTCCTGGGACTGGAGTTAAAGATCAATGTGAGACATGTGAGTGCTAGGAATCATATCCTGGTCCCTTAAGAGCAGCTGGTGTTCTTAACCACTAAGCATCTCCCTAGGAAATTAGTGATATACACTCTTGTTCTGCAAAATGTTTCTGAAAGTCTTCTGGCCTCAGAAGGTAATAATTTTGTGGTGGTTGTTTCTAGATCATATTCTACACTTTTAAAAGTTCAAGAAATGTTTACCCATTTGCTTCTTAGTAGATATATAGGTTATTTTCAGTTTGGAATTAAAGCTGCTCGGAACATTCTGGAACACACACACACACACACACTGAGTGCAGTTCATCATAGTATTTATTCGGCTTTGTTTTGAGACAGGGTCTTTGGTAATCCAGCCTTGCTTCCAACTTGCTATATAACCAAGGATGACCTTGAACTTCTACTTCTTCTGTCTCCACCTCTTAAGAATTAAGTCTGCATGTATACACCACGCAGTTTGACTTGTGCAGGCTGAGGATGCTGTGCATGCTAGACAAGCATACTATTAACCTGGCTACCAATTTCTGACCAATTCACTGGTTTGGAATTTCAAGATGTGCATACTTCCAGGAAGTCAAAGGAACAGACTCTATGTGGGCTGGGTAGCATGAATTTCCTTGTAGTTTTATTCTCTGGATGCCACTGCCTGTGGGAAATCTCCTTTAAAATGGCTATTTTCTCCTTTGCAAGACTACCTTTTGTAGCAAAATTCTGAAGCAAAAATCTAAGAAACCAATTTATACCTAATTGATTCCTAAAATGAGTCCACTTTCTTTTTCTGAGGAAGCTGAACATAAGGACTAATTATAAACCCTTAATATATACATCTGTTCTGTCCATGCAAAAACAATGATGCAAAGAGCATCTGTGGGCAGCGAGAAAGCCAGAACCCCCCCCCCCAACACACACACACACACACACAGCCCCTGAAAGATGGCTTGCCTTTAGGATCTGAGCATGATGGTGCAGCAACCTTATCCACATGGAATATTCATCCCCAGTCAAATGTCCAATGAGACATACTCTCACTATTTCAATGTGTGTCGGTGGACTTAGTAATGCAATCCGTAAATGGGTTCATACATTTTAAAAAAGAGGTCTATCAGTGACTTGCTTATTACTGAGACAGACTCATGACAAAAGCAACCTAAAGAGGAAGGGTTTGTTTGGGTGTGGTCTAGAGGCACAGTCCATTAGGGTGGGGAAGATCGGTGGCAGGCTGATCCCAGGTAGTAGGAGTGCCATGGCAGTGTATGAGGCTGGGTCTCCTCAGGTCTCCAGTAGGGAATGGGAAGCAGAATCCAGCTGGAAACCTCAAAGGCTACCCCTGTACCCTCATCCCTGACATCTACTTCCTCCAGATAAACCCCATCTTCCAAAGCTCCCACAATTTCCCCAAATATCATCAACAGCTGGGGACCAATTGGAGAGCCATTTTATATCTAAACCAGGATAGACTTAGCAACAGTTGAAGTTACTGGGAGCTGAAAATCTCAGAGCATCCATGGCTTAACTACAACATCCTCCAATCTGCCTGCCACAGCATTTCATCTTTTCCTCCTCCAGGCAGCCATTGGGGGGATCTTCACTGACACTGTCCCTAGAGACACCTAACTAGCTCACAGTGCCACTTGTGGCTGAACTCTAACCTTTTCTGTATACCTTTCTGTCTACCTTACTTTACTCATGAACCCCAAACCTTTAGTTTCCATTATCACTGGTGCCAATTACCACATTGCCTGTCAGCTTTACAGTGACATATTTAAAAAATAAAAGAGGGGTTTTGATTTTATGGATTTACAATAAGGTAAGATTTACAGAAAGTTTTCTAGACACTTAACCGAATTTCCAAAGATGTGAGAGCACATGAGGGGTGAGGGAATGTAAGGCAGGAACCCTCACTATCTGCTATTACACAGCCCTAAATTCTCCACACCCTCTTCTGGTATCCCTCTGAGTAGTCTATTCAGATTTGCAGGCTGTCCTAGTCAGGCTTAGTATTGCTGTGATAAAATGCCATGATCAAAGACAACTTGGGGAGCTCCATATCACTGTTCACCATCAAAAGCTATGAGAGCAGGAACCTAAGCAGGACCGGAACCTGGAGGCAGGAGATGATTCAAAGGCCATTGAGGGGTGCTATTCACTGGCTCACTCCTCTTGGTGTACCCATCCTTCATTCCTATAGAACCTAGGACCACTGCCGAGGGATGGCACCACCCACAATGAACTGGCCCCTCCCCCATCAATTGCTCATTAAGAAAATGCTTTTCAGCTGGATCTTAGGGAGGCATTTTCTCAACTGAGGTTCCTTCCTTTCAGATAACTCCAGCTTGTGTCAAGCTGACATAAATTAGCCAGTACACAGGCCTTTTCCCCCAACCAAATCACAACACCCTCCTGGGCTAAAGAAGTAAAAGGGGCAGTCAATCAGAATTGGGGGAACTTTGTATGGGGCATTTTAAAGAGTGGGAGGGACAGAGTCTAGATTCCCCAGGTTTGGCATCGCCCCCCACCCCCAAACCGCCAGGACCAGCTAAATATCAGGAGGACCCTGAGCCTGCAGCTGAGTGCTCACAACACAGGATACTCCAGTGGAGCTGGATAAATACCCAGCTGCAGGCTCAGGGTCAGCCCTGACATCTGGCTGAGCCTAGTGGTACATCTAGAGAAATCTTTTACCCAGAAGCATGGGTCCTTATCCTAAGGGCTACTGAGAGAGGCATACAAAGGGAAGATATTTTAGAATGTCTTCCTTCTGGAACATACGGGCACATCACCTTACACAGACAATAAAGCATCTCATCGAAAGCCCTTTAAAAGAGCTGAGGCTGTATACAAAACAGGGAGCTGGGCTCAATCAGATCACAACATGAGAACAGAGCAATGGCGTGTGGGTTGGAGTACTATGATGGGATGCATGGATAGAGGGAGGATATAGGAATAAACAAGATCCTATCTCCTGTCTGGCAAGGTTTGCCTCTGTCTGGGGTTAGGGTTTGGGGTAAGAGCATTTCCCATCTGAACTCCGAACTCATTAGCCCAAGCTTACCACCATGTAAACAGTAGGAGCTACTTTCAAGTATGTCCTAGGTGGGGGCTAGGAGACCTGTATGAAGGGATACTTAGTCCCTGTGTTCTGCTAGGCATGAGGGAAGATCCTGAACCTCCCGCAGAGAGCTCAAAAGATCTGTTGAAGTTGGGGTAAATGATGGGAGTTGTTCTCTCTTCATGCTAGAGAAATCTCTTTCCCAAGTGTACTTAACTGATCAAAACAAACACAACACCCTCCCCACGACGGTCTCTCCAGAAGGAGGGGGCCAGAGGAACTAGGAGCTCCAGGTGAGCAGCAGTAGAGATGCCTGTTCTGCGTGTCCACAAATTGTCAGCATCCAACAGACCCGGTAGGCAGGCAGGCACTCTCTACTTTGTCCCTACGCCACTAAGCAGGTCTGCCTTGCAGTCCTTATTTGAAGGGTATACCCCAGGCTGGTCACGGACCTAGAAATACAAAAGGGCAATCCTGACCCCCAGCCTCTCCAAAGACAGATCAGCAGGTGAGGGGCCTCTCCTCCCTCCCTCCGCATTAGCTAACCAGCAGGGGTAGGTTGTTTGACACCACAGGAAGCCATCAAGCAGGGACCCTACAGACAGCCCTCTCCTGAAGGAGAAATCAAGAGGTCCCTGCGCCTGCATGAGGTGGCTCCTGGGTAGACTCAACAAGTTCCAGGGGCCGCGCAGCGCCGCCTGCAGCCCAGAAACCCGAGGATGTGGCAGAGGAGCTCCGCGCGCAGGCGGCAGCCAGCGGCTGCTTCCAGCACCTCCTCCTTCTCCTCCTCCTCCTCCTGCTGCCCGCGAGCCGGCTCTGGCTGGAGGGGCTCCTTCGCGCGCCCGGCCCCCGCCCCACGCACGCGGCCCGGCCCGCCCCCGCCCCACCCCCGCCCCACGGGCCCCGGGGCTCCGCCTGCCTCAGTGGCAGGCGAGCGCACAGGCGGCAGGCGCGCAGCTCTGGGGGCACCCTGTCTTCAGTCCTCTGGCCGCCCGGCTCCACAGAGTAGCTGGGACCTGGAGCGATGGCCAGGACACCCCTCCTGCTCCCTCCCCCTCTCCGCCCCCTCCTCCCGGCCCGGGCTCCCGGATCTCGCCGAAGACAATTGCAGTAAATGAGGACATCTGAGGAGCACGGAGCCGGGTGGCTGTGGCTGGCTCCGCCGCGCCACGACCGGGCGAGCGCGCGGGCGTCCCCGGAGCCGGCCGAGCCACTGCCTCCCCGCGCGCGTCGCTGAGCAGGAGCCGGAGGGACTCGAGCTGCGGCGCGGGGGCCGGCCGGGCCGGGCGGGCCGGGCCCGTGACAGTGGAGGGGGCGGGCGGCGGGCACGCAGCTGGCCAAGTCCCCGGAGCTGAGCCTTCTTCGGCGCGAGCCCAGGGTTCCTTGCCGTGGATGCTCTGCCCCGAGTGCTCCGTGCCGCGCCAGGCTTGCCAGGGTCCGCGGCAAGACATGCCCGAGCCAGGCGCTGCACCGACCTCCACTTATCTGTGAGCAGCCAAAGGTAAGCGGAGTCCAGCAAGCCCTCCTCCCGCACCCCGGAGCCCGCTGTACTTGACCGCGGGCAGATAGGCGCAGACCCTGGCTCTTGCGCACGCACTCGCCCCTAAACCGGCAGCGCCTGGGTCTGGGACGGGCGGGTGTAGCCCAGTGCAGACCTGGTGGCCAGCAGCGGCGGGGGTTGGGGGGCGAGGTTACGCAACTGCATCTGGCAGGACCTGGTCCCTGAGGGGGCATCTGGCAACTTTGGCGACAGCCTCTGAGGAGCGGGAATGTGATGTCTATTCTAGACAAACGCCACAGCCTTGTGAGCACAAGGCATCATTGGCCAGGCAGAACTGGGCAGGAGGTGGGGTGGTGGGCTCAGGGGATGACCATCTGCCTGGAACGTTAGAGGTTTCGAAAGTATTATCCAAACTAAAGCGAACTGCTAAGTACAGTATAGCTGATTAACTTCAGGGAGATGGGGGGATAAGTCTGAACAGAGGGGCCCTGCTGCCTGCCTTTGAGTATACACCGAAGCAGGAGCATAGGCAAAAATGACCACGTGAAATGTTCGTCTCCTCTCTTGGTTACTGGTATTGGCACCTTCTCCGGGCTGGGGTCTGCATCTGCTGAGCTTCTGGGTGCCTGGCATCCCATATCTGACATGCACAAGCGTGGGAAACCAGCCGATGCTGCAGAACCAAGGGAACTAGTGAGGGCAGGATAGAGGAGGGGACCCTGGCCAGCCCCAGGCAGGGGCAGAGACTAGAGCCCAAAGTCAAGAATAAGATTCTGGATCTTGCTTGTTCATGCTCAGGGTTTCAGGCTGGTGTCTCCGCTGCTTGGAAAAAAAGAGTCTCTCCTGTGACCTCAACATTCTACTACCCTGAAAATATGCCACAAGGAGATGGAGCCAGTGATAAAGGAATGCCAGGACTGGGGGAGGAGAGGCGCCCCTGGAGTAAATAGGGGAGAAAATGGGTGACTTTTACTTTCTGCTCAGGTCCCTTCCCCTCTCTTGGTGCAGGTCTGGGGCTGGGGGACTTGCTGCCCTGTTGGGCTCATGAGCTAGAAGCAGCAGGAGAAGCAGTTTAATTTGACCTTGTCTGCTTGGGTGCTGAAATTGTGCCGAAGCATCCTGAGGTGAAACTGGCAAGAGTGGGAAGGAACTTTGGGCAAGCCCTGCCTTGGCTAAGAACCTACTAGATCATTTCAGAGCACCAAGGCAAGGGCTAGCACAGGGTTGAGGTCAGTAGCTTGAAGGTTTTCTCTTGGAAAATGACTTGATGAGGGGTTACTTTTTCACAACCTGATCAGGGCACAGTCAAGGTTACGGGGCTATGGACTTGATTAAAAAATACCATTCAAATCATAAAACCTGGATCACTCCCCATGAGTAGTTCATAAATAAGGATTCTGCCTTGTGAAGCTGATGGTAAAGGATGAACAGACAGTAATCATTTCACTCCGCAGAGGCGGCACATGCTGGTTTTACTATTCATGGTGTGCTATTTCTTACATTCACATCCTGTTGAATGTTACTTTTCAAAGTTCATATTTATCTTTGCAATTTTTTGCAAGCATGATAAGCAAACATGCATCAAACAGCTCAAAGGGGAAAATGGAAGTCTTGCTATCTGCATACCTCACCAGATATTAATAATCTACTTTCCATGTTTACTGCTTACATGGGAAGGTACTGCTCTCCAGGATAGGTTCATCAGAATTGAATTTGGTAGGGAGGGAGTCTAGCATAGCTACCACTTATCGCGATTTGGTATAATTATGTGAGCTATAGAGTTTTGTTTTCTTCATTAAATCCATCTTTTCCTTAAAAAGGTAGTGTTTCAATTTATTTTTTTTTAAATCTGATGCAAAGACCTCTCTTTAAAGACAGAATGTCCTTGAAAGGCAAAGCATGTCTTAAAATGACAACAGTTCCCATGACTTTCTGTTTTATTATCCTGATTAAGACACTGGGGCTTTTGACGTAAATCAGGTCCATTATCCCACTGAGAAACATAACTAGTGGTTAAGAAGCAGGCTAACAAGGCAAGCAATAGAGAGCCCCACATCTAGGACAAATCCTGTTACCTCAGTTTACCACTGAACTCCTCTGCTGTCACAGTTATTTTGCCCCAGGAAAAAAGCAATTTTTTGACTTACGTTTTCCCCTTATAGATAAAAATTTAAGAGCTACATAAATAAAAGGAAGGCCTGAGCAAGACAGGCACCCATCTCCAAGGAGGAGCCCTACACAGTAGAGTTCACAGAAAATGTAGGCAAGGCTGAGAAATACCAGGCTATCCCAGTGAGAGGTCAGGTACTTATTCACATGGCTAGACATTTTTATACCCTCGCTTGCTCTGTTTCATGGCCACCTCACTGAGAGAGACAGAAACTGCGCTCCTGTGTAGAAGCAGAGTACTCGTGTTTGGGCCAGGCTGCTTCTTAGACTGATGTTCAGAAATGATCAGAGGCATAGCTTTGAAGCCGTTCTCAGGACAGTCCTTGCTGTAGAAGGGCAATAACAAGGTTGCCAAAGGCCTTAATCCTAACACTCCAGACGGACCCACTAGACACCTAAGCAGATGCATAGGAGAGAAGCTGCTAACAGATCATCTAGGGCACCACACCAATTATACGGAATGGAGGTGGCTCACATCCTCCTGGGAATGAAAGGCCATAAGGACTCCCAGACAGAAGGAGAAGGACTGTTTTCCATAGCTCCTTTGGAAATGTGACAGCTGCGTTTATCACCCTGGACTCTTTGTGACTCCAGAGACCTGCATTCTCTAACCCAAAATTAGCTGACATAATTTATGATGTGGAACCTTCATATTTGATTTTAATATTTCATAGCAGTATGAAGTGACTTCAATATTTTAAAGCAAAATTTAATATGATTGATATGACGTGACAACACACATATCCCCATGAAGTTCCAAGATGTTCTGAAAAGCCTTTATCCAAACTTATATTAATCTATCTTTATGTAAATACAGTAAAACATCATGACCTTTAATCAGTTGGCTTTAAAAAAAAGTGTTTATCTTATACCTTGAAGGATGGAATACAGATTTGCATGACCCTGGCAAATTCACATAAAGAAGGTGTCTGGATGACATTGCATACTAAGGAGTAAGACATATGAGGTTTTGGTGTGAACCTCTCAACCATGTCTGAGGATATAACCATTTCAGCCCTGGGAAGCACAGAAGTCAGGGAGATGTCTCCAGGCAACCAAGATCTTGACCTCAGATTAAGAAACAGCAGAACGTCAGAGGCTTCTCCTGGTCTTCACTCACCCAAATTCTAAATCATCAGGATATTTGGCTTAGACCAGAGACTCAGTTCAAGCTGGGCATGAGAGAAAGATGAACTTGAATACAGAGAAAGTAGAAACAGGAGACAAAGAAAGAGTTGTGTTTCTAAATCACTCTGTAAATCTTTGGGATAGTATACCATTTCACAGGGACTCGGGAAGAATTCTCTCTGATTTTGTAGAGTATGGCACTGCTAATTTAAAGCATTGCATATTGATAGATATGTCCAGTGGCCACGTCATCCTGGGATTAGGAAGGCTGAGAAAGAAAAAACTAGAGAGAAGCTCATCTATGCAGAGTATACATTCAGAGAAGTTCCACTATTTTAACCAATGAAGTGAAGAAACGACAAAAAATAGTGAACCTACCAGCATGTCAAAATGCTCCTTAAAGTCTGCATGGGAGTTACTATGGAAAATTCCAGTTCGATCTTTGATAATCTAGCCTAGGGCATAAAATGAAAGCAGTAAACTATGGACTAGGAGGGGTGTGAGAGAAAGCTGCCAAATGTGAAAAACAGAGCAAGCAGCTTTGCAAATGAAAGTTGATTTCTCTCCACTCCAGTAACCCAGGGAAGTGACAGGGCAGGCTGATGATGTGGCCCTTCTGTCAGCTGCTGGGGAAAGGAACAGCAGACCCATTGCCAACTTTGTGTTTCTAGTCCGTTTCAACAAGTGACATGGATCTCAGCACAATGTTCTTGGGGGTCACCCTAAACTGGTCAACTGTCCCTTTTTAACATCTCCTCCACATGTTTTCAGCAGTCAGAGTCTAGGTAGCTCATAGTATCTGGAGTTAGCTTCCTGAGATCTGCTTATTTTTCCAGTGTTATTTTAGCAGGCTTGGAAATTTACTGGAACTATTAAAGACCAGGCTATTAGAAAGGGTGGACATAGGAAGGTAGACAGATAAGCAGGTGGCAGCCAGGACCAAGGCAAAGCAGGAGGAGAGCTCAAGACTGAAGGGAAGGTATTCAAGGACTTTGGGTCCAGCAGGGAGAGAAGAGGTGACTAGGGTGTGGCAAACAGCTCTAGATTGACAAGAGATGGGTGGTTCCAGCATGAGTGGCACCTTAGCTGACTTCAAGTGTCAGATTGAGAGAGGATCCTGGGGCCCAGCATGTAGATACCCAGGGCTTAAGCCAAGTGATGCTGAACTGAGGGGCAGAGACTTCCAAGGCAAGAAAGACGAGTGACATTTGGCAAAGGTTTGTGTTTCAGCATTACTGGGTGATCAGACACAGTTTGAAGCCACTTTGAGAAGGAATCAGAAGGGCAAGGAGGGCCCCCTCCAATGCTTTCAGCAAGAATGTATATTAGGAGAAGACCAAGTGTTGATATCCAGACAGAAGCCAGAGAAAAGGAACCAGAGCCCAGCTGAGAAGGTGCCATAGGTGAAAATTGACTAAAGAAAAAAAAAAAAAGTGGCTGGTAGCACTGAGGTTGGATAGAGAGGTACAGCTATGACAGAAATCGTCAAGAGTAGGATCCTTGTGGCATGGTGGCTGCTAGAGGACAGATTAACATTCGACCCAGGGGGTGAGTGGTTCAAGTGAAAACCTAAGGCTGGGAGCCAGCAGGGGGAAAGATATGGTGATTCTAGGAAATTGAGTCTGAGTTTTCAGCTGGAAATACTACTTGAAAAAGGGAAAGTTGTTGTTGTTGTTGTTGTAAATACTACTTGAAAAAGGGAA